AGAAAATGAGAACAGCGTGGGATGTGCACATATGTAAGAAGGAAATCTACATGAAAGAAAGTAAAAGGATATGCCTATAGCTCTAATAAAAGAAAGCAACGAATAAGTAAAAAGAGTTTGGTTCCTAAATCATGTTAATTAATTGTATCAATCAAATCAGCTGAAGTCTGAAATACTACTCCGAAGACATTTTTCTGCTTGCCACTTCAGGCCTCTTAAACACCTCTAACAGTGCAAAAGAAAGGCCAATGAAGCAGTGTCAAAGCAGACGGGATGAAATCAGTCCATTCACTGTTAATTCTTACCTTTAAATCATTAGGAAGTGCCCCGTAATATTTATTAAAAAGTGCACTAAATGTCCGTGTATGTGGTGAGGAAGAGAAGGGGGAACTACCGAAGACTCTGCTGCTTTGGAGAAAGTCATCCAGTGGGAGCGGCGACAGGAAGCGGCGGTGGTGGTGGAGGATCACTGTACGGTAGGGATGGAAGAAGACTAGGGTACAACCCTCTGTGGTGGTGGCAGCAGCTGAGGAGGGTTTGGGGGGCAGCCATCAAGTTCCCCCCTTTTATTTTCCTCTGTCGCCTGAGACCTGCCGCTGTGTGCTGATGGCTTCTTCATTGACGAGACCTCCTTTTTCTGCTCCCTCATTTTCCTTCATTGACGAGACCCCCTTTTCCCCTCAGCCCACATAACAAACCCCATTTCTTCCCTGCCTGGCGGGCACTCAGCTGAACTTCTAAGGAAACAGGTTTAGGATTGGGCTGTGATACACCTAGTTTTCAAGTAGCAAGCAGTGCCAATACATTTAACAAACCATGCTAAAATGGGGTACTGTACATATTGAGTACAGATATTCTCCAAAAGGAAAAAAAGGATCTCTGTATTCAGCTAAATTCCTTTTCTTCCACTCCTCAAAAAAAACCATAATATCAATATTGACAGAAACTAGATTACTTTTCTCTAAATTTTAGAACAGATGTTTATGTTAACAATAACACTGTACAACATTAGTACACACATTAGTTCTTGGGAAAGAATCACGCCATTCTGGTTCAGAGTCAAAACCATTAAATGCCTTCTAATGGAACAACCAATATTGTAAAAATAAAACTTAACCCATTGGCATTGCTCCATGTGGTCAATGTTATCAATATCCTTGTTAAAATACAGAGAAGCAGACAAGGGAATTCACCAGTATTTGTTATTGCATTTTTATGCATCAGTTTCAGTGAAATATACTGCCAATAGAACTACTGATTAAGCTTCCATGGGGAGTAAGACCAGTTGTTAAATAAAGTGACCCATTTTTCCAAAAAAATGGGTGGCAAGTGCTTGTCAAGACGCTTTGAAATCAGTCCGACTTTCTGAAATATGGGCCTAGCACTAGGCTACATCAATAACAGAACCTAAATGCAGTATGTCTTTTACAAAATCATTCCTTCCATCTCTTTTCATAAGCTCCCTCCCTTCCTTTTTAATTGTTTTGAAGAAAGGAAAACCTGTATGCAGGCAGCTGTAAACTGCATGCTATGTATGGAGAGGACATAGATGAAACTTAATAACATAGTGATAAAAGTTTTGCAGGGAGCCCGTAAGAAATGAAAATATGGGTATTCCAGGTGGGGAAAAAATATGGTTACTTAGTTGACCGATAGCGTGAAAGTATTTAACTAGGTAAGAAAGGAAAAGGAAAAAAGGAAGAGCGGGGGGGGGGGATGTCTTCTCTCTGGACCACTTCGAAATCAGTGAGAATAAGGGGCAGATTTGATAGCAGAAGGTCGGCTGACCCTGCGGCCCTCGAAGGAACGCATTCGTGCTGCCAGTCCCCGGCGGGAAATTGGATCGTAAAGATACTCGCGGGCGCAGGTAGCGTTAGGCTTTCCTGGGGACTTCCAGGAAGCGCGAAAACTGCAGCCCTACAAGAGTTTCTGGGCAGAACGGCTCATTCAGCTCAACGGGACTTACTACCGAGTGAGGCGGCGGCGGCTAGGCTAACCTCCGAAGAAGCGAGACGGGAACGGGCGCACCGGCTTTTGCGCGGAGGTGCAAGGGGCGGTCCGGCTACTCGCTCCCTCCCGGCTAGGAAAGAAACCTCGAATCCAAGCCAGCTGTGCGGGATTTATTGTTCGGGATCTTTGCAACACTAAAGAGCGCTTTCCCGCCTTTCTGCGCCGGCGGTGAAGCCCTGCCGACTACTTAAGGAAAGGCGTTGGAAGTAACACCGCGTCAGCCCAAGTACTCGGTAGAGCTTCCTGCGGGAAAATGAGCCCAGGTCAGGAGCCAAGCACGGCACAGGCAGACCGCCATCCCGGAGATCCCCAAGGGCGCTCCCGCGTTCGAGCCCCCGCACCGGGTCCTCGGAAGCGGCGCTGGCGTGCAGAGGAAGCACCGAGCTGCCCGAGTAGACAGACGAAGCAGGGGAGGGAAAGCGAGCGGCTCCTGCCCAACTTCCCAGCCAGCCGCTCAAGAAGTGCGAGGGGGCTGTGTCAGCACCGCCAGAGGTCCGGACCCCCATCCGGTGCAAATGCGAGCATCGACTTCCCGCCGTGCGCGCGCGTGCGGTAGGAGAAGCCCTCCTGAGCGAGTGGGTGAGCTAAACTTTATGCGGAGAAGCGCCTCGGCTTTTTCGCTGGCAGCCTCGGGCTCCGCGGGGG